TCTGTGTTGGTTCACATGGGAGTAAGATCTGAGGCTAGCAGAATCTGTATAAGGGTCTTTTCCATTCATTTTAATGAATTTCAAAAGACATGAGGGAGAGTGCTTCATTACCAGTATTTTAATCAAATTATTATAATAATATTGTGAAAATAGTTTTATACAGTGCAATAGTAATGGAAACCAGTTAAACCACCTTTATCATGTGTATCTAAAATGTGAATGGAGCTGGCTTTTTGTCAGCATTTTTTTGTTGTACTCTGATCCATGGCAAGTGTGTAGTGAGAATACTTTGTCGATCTAATTAGCAGCCATTCAGAGACTGACAGAACATCAGTATTTCTTTGTGAACTGATCTTGGCGCAGAATTAATGCCAGCTTGGTTTTATAATGGCATAAGTGTTGTTTGGAATGGGAGGTCATGTTGAACAAAGGTAGCTGTGATCTACGAAGCAGTTTGAAAGGGGCTTTGAGACAAAAGCATGGTAATGTGAGACATTGATCACTATCAGATGTGGCAGCATATTCCAAAGACAAATGAAACAAAATTGAATTGTTCAGTTTTTAACTTCTGGAATGTAGGTGACCGTGATAAGGCAGTATTTATTACCCATTTCTAATTGCACGAATGTCTCATGGGACTAGAATTACAAGTAGGCCAGACAAGATTGAGGTAGAAAGACATAAACAGACCAATTGAAGTATTAAAATAATCTGGCAGCTTTCATGGTCACTTTTTGTGAGTGTGCATTATCAGCAAATTTTTCTGATTATTTACTAATGTTCTCTAAATTTGCTAGCAGAGGACCTTAATGACTAGGCTACTGTACCCATTTGTTATTGAGTTGAGTGCACTCTAGGTTTATAACAAATTTCCGAGGCAACTTATTTGATCCAAAGCAATGGAAATTGGTATGCTTGATCAGGCTAGTAGCTCGTCCCCGCCTCCCTAACCTGTTCTTCCTCCCATCTATCCCCTCCTCCCACCTCAAGCCGCACCCCTATCTCCTACCTACTAACCTCATCCCGCCCCCTTGACCTGTCCGTCCCCCAGTACTGACCTATCTCCTCCCTACCTCCCCACCTACACTCACCTTTTACTGGCTCCATCCCCGCCTCTTTGACCTGTCTGTTTCCTCTCCACCTATCTTCTCCTCTATCCATCTTCTATCCGCCTCCCCCTCTCTCCCTATTTATTCCAGAACCCCTTCCCCTCCCCCATTTCTGATGAAGGGTCTAGGCCCGAAACGTCAGCCTTCCTGCTCCTATGATGCTGATTGCCCTGCTGTGTTCATCCAGTTCTGCACCTTAGTCTGAACAAGAGTTGTTTTCTTTAGCCATTCAGACATTACCACAGGATGGCAGCCTTTAAGATGAATTGCTGTTGTCACCTGGATGTCATGGGAACCAAACTGAGTCCTAGCCATCAACAATGCAATTTGCATATACTATTGCCTTGCCAGTCACCTGTACTGGCATCATTGAGCATTTTAACCTGATTTTTAGGTTTGTTTGAAAGGGTAGAAAAGCTGACTATTATGTCATGTGAAACTAGATTTTCAATGCTGTTGTTATCCAAACTAGTAACATCAAAAGTGCTTCATTTTGTTAGTGCAACTGCTAGCAGCTATTGAAAAAACTGTTAATCATTTCATGCTTGCATGTACAAGCACCCTATAGGCAGGCAAATTTTATTGACATTTCTTGGGAAAATATCCACATGACTCAGATATTACTGTTGAGTTTCTATAACTTCTATGAAGAATTTATAAAGGAACGTTCAATCAGCAATTTTTTGGGAAAAAAAGACAGGATAACTGCAAGTTAGCAAAGGGTTACTCTGCAGGTGCAGACTTTTTCAGTGTTTTCAACATTCCTTGATTTGTGTTTAGACTTGGTTTGAGTTTCATATTGCACTCCTGCAATTAGTTCGTTCTTTGTTCTTGTCCTGTGGCCCTGGATTAAACAAGATTTCAAAAGATGACATTTGCCTTTTTAAGTTTTGAAGATCCACTGCTATCAAGCTTTCTTTGAAATATCTGTAATTAGCAGCTTTGAGGCTGGGGCCTGTGGTTTATAATGTTTCCTTGTTTTTCTAGCTAAAACAATGTACACCACCAGATTTATTGTGTTTCAATCTCTGTCCAAACTTTCCAGACGCCTAAAGTATATATGTCATGATCTCAAACTGGGAACAGAGTGAGCCCGAAGTGTTCAAGTGTACAGTGAACAGCTAGAGTACACCACTTCTGTTTCAAATTATCTTCAATATCACTTCCTCCTCCATAACTTTCAGTATCTAATATCTGAATCAGAATAATTGTTAACCAGAAGTAAGTCAGATGAAACTGGAAGTGTCGTCTCTGGAAGGATTCTGAATCCATCTTGGGGTGGTGTTGGTATACACCCTAATATTTAAAAGTCCAAATCAACTGCCTCACATTTTATAGAAATTCAGTGCCCATTTGAATACATACTGTAGTTGATTTAAATATTGTGACTTTGATAGCTTCTAAACATTTAGATGTCCAGTAAATGAAGCTATTGCGTGAAGTGTTGGCTGCAGTGAACAATGTAATGGCACATTATTGATTTTGATTCTGGTTGTAAAGGCATATTTAAGACAAATAACCATGGTACATCTGAAAATAAACTAAGTGGCACATATATTGGAATCTCCTAACTTCTTCAATGTCCATGCGTTTATCAAAAGCTTGCAGAGGGCTTGCTGCATTAGTTCAGGGAGAATCAACAGGATGGGTGCCCAATTTGCGCTGTAAATTCTCAACAGGTGTGTTTAAAGTTTGGGAATAACGAGCTTTATCTTTAACTCCAACATTAAATGGATGGATTTTGAATTAATTAGAATCTCACTTAATACTGAATTGGGAAAGGAAATAATCCATATTGCATAAAAGCTGTTTTAATTTTCCAATTTCATAAGTCTCTTGTTAACCCACAGAAACTGTGGTGTTAAACCATGTCCTTTTAGAATTGAGGTAGCTCAATGTCAAGAGGAATTGTTTATGAGCTGTAACACAGTGATGAAAGAATAGCATTGACCTTTCATGATGTTAATGATGTCTGTAGACCTTCAGTGACTCTTTAAGAGGCAAATTAAAATTTTTCTAGAGCTTCTATGGTTCTTCTCCGCTTAGCACATCTTCTAAAGGGGATCAGTTGTGAGTGAACAGGAAAAAAATAGATTCACGGTTCAATACCTTGTCCGCTCAGTGACTTGATTTCCTCCTGGATAGAGATAGGGTCTCTTCATTTGGTCTCTGCTCCTGTTGAATTGGAAGTTAAAAGGCACCTTGCGTTCTTGCTTCTGGTCGCTCTGTTGCAATCCTTTACACCAGTGTTGACATCAAGTGACAATGACAACAGGCTTACCTCTGTCTCCTGCAGTTGAGCAGTCTGTTGACCGTGACTATCCAGGCTCTCAAAGTGAATTACCACTTTGATGTGATAATGGAGATTGAGCACATTCTATGGACTGAGTGCTGGCAAGTTCACAAGGATCGAAGATAAACTTGAGGGAGACCAGTGTAGCTAAAAGCTAAATGGAGTATGAAAATAAGTGCTGGGCAAGAAGATTCTTGGGTGATCTTCTACACTGACTGTCAATTAAGTTCATTTGAGTAGCCTCTTCAGGGTCACTTGAGGGCCTCAGCACACCACTAACTCAATCACTTGCCTTCCTGCCATAGAGTTTTCTCACCTTAGATGCTGCTAGACATGCTGGGCCTCTCCAGCACTTCCTGTTCTTATTTCAGATCTCCAGCATCCAAAGTACTTCTTAATTGAGAAACTTGGCTTGTTTCCCAGCGGGGCCGGGGAAAAATACTGACCTTGTTGGGTTGAGGAGTGTGGAGGGCTGGTGTCTCCACTTGCTCCATTCTGAAGCTGATGAAGGTGGCTGCTAAAGATCAATCCTTGTCTCCAATCCTCTTGACCTCCCACCTCTTGGCAAGATTTGCCTTTTCGGACCTTTTAAAGCTTTGCCCTGCAGTGGCAATCAGTGGTATCTGGTGGGGTGGGACTTCAATATCAAAGCTTATGATTTGCTGAGAGACTTGCCAGTCAGCTCTAAAGTGGCTGATTGGAGCTTGATGCAGCAAACTTGCTTGCTGGTTAGGACAAGGATCCATCACCCCTGAAGTCACTCACTTACACTCCCAGTGCATGGAGCACTAAATCCTAGCCCTAGTCTGTGCCAAGTTAGTTAATCTCCAACAGGGGATTGCAATTGATCAGCAATGGGGATTTTGACCACTTGTGTCTCAATTTCAGAATAGGGCAGGACCATGTTTTCTTTTGACGTGCATTTCCCTTATTAATTATAACTAATTCATGCCTAGGCTTTAAGCTCTCTCATTCTTTCTTTTGGTATCTCTCTCTGCCTCACTATCTTTCTAGTGTCCATTAAGACAGCCCTTAAAATATACCCATCTGATCAAGCTTTTGGTCATCTGCTTGCCTGATTTGGTATCACACTTATTATTATCACACTTATTATCCTTATTCTATAAGGATCTCGTGAAACACTTTGGGACATTTTCATGGTATTAATGGTGCCACGTATACACCAGCTACGAAATGCTCCAATGTCACTTCCTCATTAGTATTGCTCACTTAGGTGTGTATCTATTGCATGTTGTGTGTGTGATCGGAACTAGAATCTATCAAATTGTCAGTACTATCATGAATTGAGAAGAGAAACAAAATAAATCATGAAGATTTAAAGCTGTATTTAAAGCTGCAGGGAGAATTCACCGAGGCATTGATAGAAGAGTGACCCAGGTGTATATACTGCTGGGAAGATTAAATCTGTGGTGAGAATTCTGTTGTATCTTGTGATAGCAGTACAAAGTCAGTCTAAAAGGAACATTTGTAATTTTATTTATGACTGCCATTCCAACATCAGTATGTACTTGAACTGATTCATTCACTGCTGACAGATTGGTCTGAACAATTGCTTTCTTTTTAATTTTTTTTAATAGTTCACTTTGACTGCAGTGAACAGGATGATGTGACTTTTGAAACGGATGATCCCCGCTTCAAAATACATAACGATGGAAGAGTTTCCGTTAAAAATGCAATGTCCCCACAAAACCAAACAAGTTTTCTTGTTACGGCATGTAATAAGGCTAAGGAAAAATGGGATGCTGCCATTACTGTCCTAATAAATGGAGAAAAGGTAACTTTTAAAAAATTTTTCCTGTAAGTAAATATCATCTCCCTCTTTAGTGCTGTGAACACATTACAGCCATATATTTAGAGAAGAGCTATGACTTCTGTAATTTTCATGTGGCTTGCTCAACAAACATGCCTTGGACATGTTTGGAACCATCCAGATATAACCCAATTTCATTTTGTTTTAGCAATTGTAGCAAAATGTTAATATTTTATTCTATTTTCTTTGTAAATTTGGTGTATAATGTTTAAATTTATATATGTTCCTTTTGGTTTTTGAGAGAGCCTCAGTATTTTACCCAAACATTGAATTCACTGTCAAATGCCCTGATTTTGCATTTTAGCCAAAAATCTCTGCTGATGATAATTCCGGGAAAGTCCTGATTATGCGGTCTCAACATTCGTCGGGCTCTTCCCTGAGAAGGAAGAAGAGAGAATGGACGATTCCTACTATCAATTTTCCAGAAAATGAGAGAGGAGAATATCCCAAATTTGTTATACAGGTTTGTCTTTACCGTGTGTAAATGTGGTTATGTAGCAACATAAAGTTACTGCACCAACTGTTCAGATTATTCCCTTGAAGAACAACAAAACAAATTTTAAGATATCGGGCACTGCAAAAATGAGCCGCACGCTATGAAGAGGGAAATGTTGTTACTGTGTGCTATTTTCAAGACTTTGACACAGTGAAAATTGTTTCTTGTTCAATGCATTGCCATCTCTCTAGTTATTTCAGACTTCAAATAACAATTCTGAACTAAAAAGGTGGGGTATACAAATAAAACAGGAAAACTATGATTGGAGAAGACAAAACTGAAGGCTTATCCTGCAACCAACTCTGAATGGCCAGCCGGAAGAACCTGTCAATGAAACACAGGAGATGATAAACAAATTAAACTATGCAAAATATTTTAATGAATTTTTAGTTTTTATTCCCTCTCTCAGCCGGTCTTCTATGAAGTCAAAACAAAATTTCCGACATATTTTGAACTGCATGTTTTATGACTTTTATTACCACCTGACTTAAACTCTCTACATACGCTGGGGAGATGCTATTATCCCTTTATAAGTCTGTAGCTTGATATTTTCCAAAAATGTCAGGCTAATTAAGTTAAATCTTTTTGCAATGTGCCTCAAAGTGACTATTTTCTACCCCCTCATGATTTGTAGCTGTTTCATCATTCTGTGTTACAATCATATGTTTCTTTGGAAAATTCCAAAAGGTTCTTCACAAAAAAAAGTTGTGCAAATATTTGTAGTAATATTTCAAGCTGTTCTTATTTTTTAAAAATGACTAGATTATTTGGCTGGACTCTACTGGAATTGTACCAGTGGCAGGTGATAGTTGGCAGCCTGTCTACTGGTGAACCCAAGTCATCGATAATTCCCGTTTGAGGGCTTTGCCCTGCTGTTGCTGGAACTTAACTGACTGTGGGAGAGACCTCTAACAGGACACCAGCTCAGTAAGTTTGAGTGGGTTGGTAGCAGCCCTCCTTAACCAGTCCCAACGTTCTTTGGAAGGAACTCCCCCCCCCCCCCCCCCCCCCCCCCCCGCCGCCGGTCAGTTTGGATTGGTTACTCATTGACTTCTACATGAACTCACTCATCCCAGTCCAGTGCTATGCACGCCTGAGATGATTTCTGAATGGCTGTTGGCTCCGGTTTTGGCTGGCAGCTGTCAGAGGTGGAAATTCCCATCTCCATCCCACGAGTGGCTGTTTCAGTGGATGTGGGGCAGCTGGTGTTCCTTTTTTTTATTTTAGTGGCTTCTCCACCCTCCAAAAATCATTCAGCAAATGCTCACATGAATTTTCTGTGAAATATCAGAAGTCTCCCTCTTCCCCCTCCTGTTTGGTGTCTCTCCCCACCACCACCACCCTGGCAGCTAGCACCGTCACGGATTACACTGGGGATCCCGTTGTGATCCCATGTTAAATTCCCCTGTGCTGCTGGTTGTTTACAAATATTATGACTCAATTCTGCTTGCTTTTGACAGTTAAGGACTGGAAATCACGTAAGTGCAAACTTAGCATATTACAGCACAGAATGAGGCTATTTGACCCATCACGTTCATGCCATTCTTTAAGCACCTATTTACTCTAATCGCATCTCTCAGCATTTGGCCCATGGCCTTTGTTATGCCACTTGAAGTGGTGGCATTGCTGCCTCACAGCACCAGGGGCCTTAGTTCAATTCCAGCCTTGGGTGACAATGTGCAGTTTGCACATTCTAACCACGTCTGCATGGATTTCTGCCAGGTGCTCTGGTTTTCCCTCACAGTCCAAAGATGTACAGGCTACGTGTATTAGCCATGGTAAATATGTGGTTATGGGATGGGATGCTGGGCTGGGTCTGGGTGGAATGCTCTTTGGAGGGTAGGTGTGGACTTGATGGGCCGAATGACGACTTTCTGCACTGTAGGGATTCTTTTTTATTATAAATGATCATCTAACTATTCAAATGTTGTAACGATTCCTACATGAACCACCCTTTCAGACAGTGAGTTCGAAATACCCGCCATTCTGGTGGGGGTTGGGGAGAAAAGTCTTTCCCTTTAATCCGTAGCCTTACTGATGTGACCCCTCTACTAAAGTGAAATGTTTATTCTATGCCCTTCAAACTTTTGTAGACCTCAGTCAGAACCACCCCCCCCACCCCCAACTCTGGTCTCCTCTGCTCTAAAGAAAACGTTCCCATCCCGTCAAATGTCTCATCAGAGCTGAGATCCTCTAGCATCTAACATTTTGGTGAATCGCCTCTACATTCTATCTAGTGCGATCTTGTCCTCCCTATAGTGCAATTAATGTATACTAAATAATCATTGGAGACATGTTTTATTGAAGCTTTCTGTCTTTTACTTATTAGAACAATTTGCAAGGATACTAATAAAGGGTAAATTTAATTTTCATATTGAAGAGAGTGCTGATTGGTGGAGGAATTTAGAATGGAGAGTACAGCAGTTAATGATTGAATATTAACTGCCAGGCTTTGATTTCAAGCCAGACAGGTTGTCTCTGGTTCTTTCTATGGGCAATGCCCTGACCAGTGAATGGTTATAACATCTCTTTTTGTTGAATTAAAACAGGTGCAGTATCTGCAAAGAACAGGTCCTGTGTGTTGATATATAAAGCTTACAGCACAGTTGAGTGTTTCACGCTGCAAGGAAAACTGACCATCCTCAATCAGATGCCAGTGTCAATCATCATTAACTGCTACACTTGTTATGGCAACATCTCTACCAACTAGAATCCACCTACCAACCAGTCAACACTCTCCTTGACTATAAATGTTGTTTCTCCCCATCATTGGTAATCATGTGAATTGGCCTGATGAGTACAAGATGAAAAGCTTTGGCGAAATGTCTCTATTTTCAACAGTACTCGAGTTCTGTACTACCAGATGACTATATGTTGATCTTCTATTTCTCTATTAATTGAAGCATAGTTCTGCAGGAGTCCATTAGGACCTTCATTCCTCAGTATCACATGATCTACCTTTCCTGGTGCTCTTTCACTGTTACATATCAGCAGCTGTTAAGCTCTTTATACTACAGATTGAACCTGACGCACTCTCAAAAATGGGCACTGTTGAATTTCTGATCCACATTTTCCAGCTAGAATTAATAAATAGTCATGTGACCATGAATCTTGATGCACTAGATTATTTTTCAAACCAAAGCTTCTCTTTTTTTCTTCATCATTTCAATGCCAAATCCACTAGCACTGGTAAAATTATCGAGACTTGGAACTAACAGCTTTCAAAATGATGCACTCAATGTTTAAATTTTTTTTTTTGCAGATAAAGTCCAGTTGGCAAAAAGAAATTCCTGTGCAATATTTTATCAAGGGACCTGGTGCTGATGAGCCACCTCTGGGCTTATTTACTATAAGGAAGGAAGATGGTTCAATTTATGTGCATTCACCTCTAGATAGAGAACAAAAAGATTCGTATAAAGTGAGTTTTGTTTCTTCAGATCCTCTAGGTCATGTTGTTGTTGTTGTTGTTGTTGTTGCAATTATCTTCACTACTTTCAGCTATTGCTTTGCATTGAGCCAGTAATGAGTCCTGTACACTGTCAATATAGTGGCCTTCCCTCATACACTGGAGCTGCTCCATTTAACTTGGAACATTTAGAATTGTGGGAGAAGTTCAAAGTCTGTGTAAAAACACTGGTCAGCACAATCCATTGTAATTTGTTTCTGCATACATTCCAACTTAATCTGGCAAAAGTTGACAAAATCAGCTTTAAGCCATAAACTGACTGCTCCATACAGTCATAGAGATGTACAGCACAGAAACAGACCCCTCGGGCCAACTCGTCCATGCTGACCAAATGTCCTAAATAAATCTAATCCCATTTTCCAGCATTTGGCCCATATCCCTTTTAAACCCTTCCTATTCATATACCCATCCAGATGCTTTTTAAATTCTGGAATTGTACCAGCCTCCTTCACTTCCCTCTGGCAGCTCATTCTGTACATGCACCACCCTCTCTGTTAAAACGTTGCCCCTCAGGTCCCTTTTAAATCTTTCCCCTCTTACCTTAAACCTATGCCATCTTGTTATGGACTCCCCCACCCCAGGGAAAAGACCTTGTCTATTTACCCTGTCCTTGCCCCTCATCACTTTATAAACCTCTAAGGTCACCCCTCAGCCTCCAACGCTCCAGGGAAAACGGCCCCAGTCTATTCAGCCTCTCTCTATAGCTCAAACTCTCCAACCCTGGCAACATTCTTGTAAATGTTTTCTGAACCCTTTCAAGTTTCACAACATCCTTCCTATAGCAGGGAGACCAGAACTGCACACAGTATTCCAAAAGTGGCCTAACCAATGTCCTGTACATAACCTCCCAACTCCTATACTCCATGCACTGACCCATAAAGGCAAGCATACCAAACGCCGCCTTCACTATCT